TTTTTTTTTTTTTTGAGGAACTGGGGCTTGAACTCAGACCCTTGCGCTTGCCAGGGAAGCGCTTATTCTACTGAACCATCTCCCCAGGCCCCTCTAGTAGGGATTTTGTTATCCTCATTTGGTTCTTCTTTTTTGGCACCAGGAATCAAACTCAGAACCTTGTGCTTGCCACTGAGCTATATCCCTAGATGATAGTCTTATTTGAGATTTAAAGGGCTATTCTCCAGCAGAAGCCTCTTTCCCACCAGTTTTTTTTCTTTTCCAGCTTATGTGTAGTGTTCTGAGCAGGAGAATTTAGGACACAGCGAATGTGTTCTCTTATGACTCCGCTCTGCTCACCTCTAGTCTCAGCTATGCTTCCAGAGTCTCCTGTGCATTTCCAAGAGCAACAAAAATGGGCTAAATCTCTGGTGAGTTATTTATTCCTCATTTGTTTTACATCATATTTAATGAACTTTATGGATTCAGGAATTAAGATAGAAAAATAGAAAACTGAGATTGAGATTTAGAGGTAACCCATTTGGAACCCCTCCTGTCTCAGGAGCTATTCCTGTTCTCCATTGCTATTTGTCATTCTCTTTCCCTGGTAAATTTTCCTACTCTTAACAAACAAACAAACAAAAACCTCAAAAAAACCCAAAAACAACAACAATAATAAAGTTGAGCCTTAGGGAAGTATACATAAAGTTAATATATAGATTTAGCAGATTACAAGACTCTAGAGTCAGAAAATTAAAAAAGACTTTAGAGTCATTTAAATTGAGTGCAGGGTTGTCTCTAGGCTTTCGGTGGCATGGTGAGAAGCAGTCACCCTCATGAGATGACTCACAGAATCCTCATGGTAAGCATGCTAGCCTTTTCTGGAATTGGGACATTTGCTGGCACCCAAGTCTAGAACACCATCTTCACCAGTCATGTTTAAACACCTAAAGGAGGCTTTTCTGAAGTTGATAAGAGTGTGGTCCAAGACAGCTTTTGAGTTATCCTTCTGTCCTGTAATAACTGTATGTACATTTTTCTCACCTTGTGTGTCTGTAGGGTGTGCTGTAAGTTGAGCCAAGTATTGTATTTTCTAGGAGATTCTGCTCATTGGTACTTTAGCTTACTCAGTGAATTCTCAATTCATTTCTTCAGAAGTTCATTATTAACCTAGATTACAGTAAAATCCACTGACCATTGGTACTGCTCTTTGATGCACAGAAAGTCTTAATTTTATAGTTCACCTTTACCTTTTTTTTTTCTTAGTACATGTGTGTAGTACATAATGTTTACATTCCTTGTGGGAAGTTGGTACATATACATGATACATCTTAACTCACTTCTCATCCCCCTTCTTCCCTCCCCTTTACTGATTTTTTTACTTATGTTTTTGATGTCCAAGAAATAACTGCCAAATCCAATGTCATAAAGTATTTCCTTTGATTGAACATTTTAAATAGGTATAGTTCATATCACAACATATGAGATGATTGTTATTTCTTTGTACAAATGAATAGTCTAAACTTAAATGCTCCCTATATCAAATTAAAGTGCTGTCTTTCATCTCTGATAACTTTTAACAGTGCTCAACATTCCAGGCTCTGCTGATTAATCTTGTGACTAAGACCAGCCCCCCTCCAGGTAGACATCATTTTCACCTCAAAGTTTGTCTTCAGTAAGCTGTTTTTTGTCCTTTCAGGGTTGACTGTCAACCCAAATTTTATTTGTCTCATTATTTGTAGCATATGTTTTAGAAGGTGAATGATGTTCAGTTTCGTATGCACACTGGGAATGCTTTTCAATTTAGGTATGAAATACGAGGATGTTTATGAACATAGCACTAATCTGTAGGTAATTTGCTAACAGCAGTGAGTATATGAGCCATTTGTTGTTGGAAGAATGTTGAATATTTAAGTTAGAGTCATTCTATAATCAGGTTGTCAAATGTCTTCACTGCCTTTTTTCCTCATCACAACTCAGGACTGCTTACCTAGAAAGACATCTTTTGTATTTCTGTTAATGTATTGTGTGTTCTTTATGATTTCGTTTTTCCTGAGGCATATTCTTTCGGAAGATCTAAACATTTTTTACTTTTCAGTGAAGCACAACCTGATACCACAGGAAAAATGTGTTTCTTACTTCCTTGTTTCCCTGACTTACCTTGAGCTTTTGTCTAAATTAGCTGAACATATGATTGTAGTCGTGTGTTTGTGCTTCATGTCATCGTAGCATATCATGTGCTCCTTGGTGGGGAATTTATATCCTGCCTTTATCTTGGCAACACGGACTTTCCCAAATCTGTAGAAACTTCAGGATGGGGCCAGGGAGCTAGTTCAGCAGCATAAGGGCCTGCCTGGCAAGCACAATCCTGAGTTCGATCCCTGGTAACAAACAAACAAAAAACGCTTCAGGATGATATTTTTAGTGACTGAAAAATCAGTGCTGAGATCGGATGTTTCTGCTGTGATTATTTTTCTTTTTCCTACCACAGAGAGTGCAGACTAAGTTCCCTTTTGCACATACATGTACACACACACACACACACACACACACACACACATACACTGGTCTCCCAGACTTTGTGTTCTCTAGATCCTAGGGCTGACAATTTGAGTGAAGAGAAACATGCCATTACAGGGGTTAGTATCATTTGAGGATGTGGCTGTGGACTTCAGCTGGGAGGAATGGCAGGATCTGGACGATGCTCAGAAGACCCTATACAGAGACGTGATGCTAGAGACCTACAGCAGCCTGGTGTCCTTGGGTGAGTGAAAAATCACAGTAACTTCTCAGTGTATAGAACAGGTAAATGACTTCATGGCATTTAGGTGTAAGAGTCCAGCCCATGAAGGGCTGCCATCCTACAGCAGGCTTACACTGGCCCCTTCTTGGCAAAGCTGAAACTATACTGTTGACTTTCTTTCATTCTGTCTGTCTGTCTCTCTTTCTGTCTCTCCAACTGTCTGATCCAGTCTGGTCTGGACTGTTCCTTTCCTTACCTAGCCTTTCTTTGAGACAGGATCTCACTATATAGTTTAGGCTGGCCTTGGTCTCACTATGTAGCAACTGATAGCAGTATTCCTGCCTTAGCCTCCCAAGTGCTGGGATTATAGGCACGTGCCACCATGCCTGGCACTTGGTTTTCTTCAGAGGTCTTGAAATAGCAGTATGCCAAAAGTCATGCTTCATTTTCCACTAACAGGGCATTGCAGTCCCAAACCTGAGGTGATCATCAAGCTGGAGCTGGGAGCACAGCAATGGATGGGAGAAGAACACCCAAGCCAGGCCCATACAGGTCAGTTGTGTCATTGGGAGAGGGCTGGGAGGAGCACAGCCCAGCTGATGGGGCTGTGCTGGGCCATTTGTGGAGTGTTTCCCTAGCCCCTACAGTGGTGCTCAGGGTCAGATGCCTGTGCTGTTCTCTTTGCAGAGTTTCTCAAGTCTAGCTCCATGTCCTCCTTTTCTTAGACTTCTACAACTCCAGCCACTTTCTGGTTCTTATTAGGTTTTTTCCTAAGTGAGTTTCTCTAAATTCTCAGTTGCTTCCTTTTCCTCTGTTGTCAAGGGCTTTTTATTATTATTATTATCATTATTATTAATGCATTTACTCATTCTTCCCATACATGTTAAAATTGGGCAACTCATGGGTGCTAGTGTTTTGTGATTGTGACAATAATAGTAATTAAACAAATATCCTTTTAAAGAGCTTATGTTCTTTCAAAAGAGAAAATTCAAAGTACACCAAAAAATTGTATACACACTTTTGGAAAATGAAGACTTGTATAAATATTTTTATTATTACTACTTTTTTTTTTTGGCGGAATGAGGGATTGAACTCAGGCCCCTGTGCTTGCCAGGCAAGTGCTTATTCTTCTCAGCTATCTCCCCAGCCCTTTATTGGTTCTTTTTTCTTTGGTGGAACCAGGGATTGAACTCAAGCCCTTGCGCTTGCCAAGGAAGCGCTTATTCCACTGAGCCAGCTCCCCGACCCCTGTATAAATATTTTAATGCTAAAGTTTTTGAGACATTGTCACCTTTGACCTCTATAATTACAAAAGGTGCTTGAAGTGGTGGCCATGAGCTTCTAGACATTTATTAGTTTGGCAAACTGCTGCTGTAACCTTGGTCATTGGAATAGCTGCACATGCATTTGCAGTTTCTTATCTGAGGACTGGCAGTTAGTGGCTTTTCTGCAGTATATGACCATTTCCGAGGACCCCCATATGCGGGTAACACCATCTGTTGAGAAAACATCATGCTATTTTTCTTTTCCTGAGTTGTGTATACATTTTTTGGGCAAACTGTATATCCATTGTGAGATAACAGCCATAAAAAATGCTTTAGCGGATGAGATAGAAAATGGGATATTGGGCTGGATATAGAGCTCAGCAGCATAGCAAGCTTAAGATCATGAGTTTGATTTCCTGTTGCTATTAAAAAAAAGATTGGGCTGGTGAGATGGCTCAGTGGTCTAAAGCACCTACTTAGAACAAGCTTAGCAAAGCACAGGGACCGCGGTTCAATCCCCCAGCACCACATGCCAGCCAGCCCCGCCCCCTGGTGGGCTGAGCTGGCCGCGCGCGCGCGCGCGCGCGCACACACACACACACATATATAAATAAATAAAATTACATAATAAATACATAAATAAAATTAAAAATAAGAATAATAAAAATTTAAAAAGGATCAAAAAAAATTGAGTATTTTAGGAAGGGTTCTAAGGGGAGGCAGTTCTAGACAGACTGTTGTTTACTTCAGATAGCTTAATTTTTGAGGTGACAGTGTCCCAATTATATATATTATTATATAATGTGTAGGTGAATGTATAATCTAAAACAGAATATGTATCACTGGTAGATACACAACTTTGGAAATCAGTAGTAGCTTTGAGAGAAGAGGCATAGGAGTCAGACTTGTATGTCAGAACCTCAGAGTCAGAGTACCAAAGAGCACTTAACACAGGGAGAACTCTCCACCACTTCCCATTAACAGGGCATTGCACCCCCAGCCCAGACGAGACCATCAAACTGGAACAGGGAGCACAGCCATGGATGGGAGAAGAATGCCCAAGCCAGATCCTTACAGGTCAGTTGTGTCCTGGGAAGAGCCCTGAATGGAAAGCTCCCAGCTGATGGGGCTGTCCTGGGCTGTTCTCAGAAGTCTCTTTCCCAGTTCCCACAGTACTGAACTCTGTTGATGGGGCTCAGCTTGCTGTGTGGGAGTGGAGTTTAAAGTTAGAATTCTCGGGCTAGTGAGATGGCTCAGTGGTCTAAAGCACCTACTTAGAACAAGCTTAGCAAAGGACAGGGACCGCGGTTCAATCCCCCAGTAACACATGCCAGCCAGCCCCGCCCCCTGGTGGGCTGAGCTGGCCACACACACACACACACATACACACACACATATATAAATAAAAATAAAGTTAGAACTCTCCCCTCTTCTTTGTGGACATCATTCTAAAGCAACAAAGAGAACAAAGAATGTATAGGAAACTTCATTTTCTGTGAAATAAGGCAGCAAATGACATGCCATGTCATAAAACAAGCTTCAGGAGCAACTTGTCATCAAGCAGGGCTACAGCAGGACCTGGGGAAAAGGCTGGCTTGTTGGGATGGTGGGTACAATCTGGATTGCAGAACTAGGATGGTGGCCATGGTGGTGAACTGGTGTTATGGTTTTGGAAATCGGAGGATGCTGGGTTAAATTTGGAATTTTAAGGACATTCTTTTTATCTAGAGTAGGAAAGAAAATAGTTGAAATCTCCCACAGGTTCTTATAGCCCTTCTCCAGGGAACAGTGTAGCCTAAACAAATGTAGATAGAAATCCTTTTCCCATGAAACATGTACGCTTAGATGCCAGGCAAGGAAGAGTTTCTGTTATTCTTCTGACTGTAGCTGATCCTAAGAGATCTTGCCATCTTCAAAACTAAAGGATGAGGAGAGAAGTGGTACAAAATGGGAACAACTAATAAAAAATGTTTTAAAAAATCAAGGAAAACCAATAGCAGATGAACAACAGTCAGTTTTAAACTATAACCAGATATATTTTTTTAAAATTTTATTTATTTATTTGTGTGTGTGTGTGTGGCCAGCTCAGCCACCAGGGGGCAGGGCTGGCTGGCATGTGGTGCTGGGGCATTGAACCGTGGTTCCTGTGCTTTGCTAAGCTTGTTCTAAGTAGGTGCTTTAGACCACTGAGCCATCTCACCAGCCCCTATAACCAGATATTAAAAGAAAAATTTTTTTTAAAGAAACAGAAAAGGGGCTGGGGAGATAGCTCAGTAGAATATGTGCTTACCTGGCAAGCACAGGGTCCTGAGTTCAATCCCCGGTACCCTCCCCCCCCAAAAAAAAAGAAACAGAAAAACATAATATAAAAACCATTAAATTACTCAATACATTCACTTTAGGGGGAAAAGACATATTAGCCTACATGTATTATTGATATTTTAAAATTTTTAGCCAGTAGGATAGGAAGATACTTGGAGCATTCCATAAAAAGTGCTTAATGTGGTTCAAGAGTATGTTTGTCATTATTGATTATTTTAGATGTCCAGAAAGTGGAAGACCTGGCTGAGACCAGCCACGACAGTCCAGCCAGACATCTGTGGCAAGTAATGATCACCAGCAACAGTACAGCAGAGGAGCGATTTGGATTAGAAAGAACATTTGATTTGAGCTCAAACCATATTTCAAAACTGGTTATAAATAATGAGAACTACTTAGGAATGAAGACTGAAGAATTTATTGTGTATCAGAATGTGTTCCTCCCTATTGTCCCTGATAAGATTCCTACTGGAACAAGACCTGCTGCCCATGTTACAGTTGGGAAATCCCTTGGACATCTTGACTGTCTCAGTCAGCATCACAGGATTCAAAATGGGCAGCAGGATTTTGAGCATACTGGAGAAATGAAGGCTGCTAACACAGAAGCAATATTCTTCCTGCATCAGCGGGTACATGTAGGAGAGTCCTATGAATATAGTGAACATGGGCAAGCCTGTGATAAGTCGGCTCTCATTGTCCAAAGAATAACTCAGGTAGGAAGGAAGACACTTGAATGTAACATATGTGGGAAGACATTCTATTCAAATCCTGCACTCACTAAATATCAGAGAATGAACACTGGAGAGAAACCCCACGTATGTAGTGACTGTGAGAAATTATTCATTAAGGAAACATACCTTTCAACTCGCCAGAAGAAACACACAGAAGAAAAGCCCTATGAATATAACATATGTATGGAATCTTTCTACCAGAAATCAGGCCTCACTTCACAACCTAGCACTCACACAGGGAAGAAACCCTATGCATGTAATGAATGCAGAAAATCTTTCTACCGCAAGTCAGATCTCACTGTGCATCAGAGAACTCACACAGGAGAGAAACCCTATGAGTGTAATAAATGTGGAAAATCTTTTAACCAGAAGTCAAACCTCAGCAGGCATCAGAGGACTCACACAGGAGAGAAACCCTATGAGTGTAATAAATGTGGGAAATCTTTTAACCAGAAGTCAGACCTCATTTTACACCTGAGAATTCACACAGGAGAGAAGCCCTATGAATGTAGTGAATGTAGGAAATCTTTTTACAAGAAGTCAGACCTCACTGTACATCAGAGAACTCACACAGGAGAGAAACCCTATGAATGTGATGAATGTAGGAAAACTTTCTATCAGAAATCAAAACTTACTGTGCATCAGAGAACGCACACAGGAGAGAAACCCTATGAATGTAACGAGTGTGGGAAGTCTTTCTATCAAAAGTCAGACCTCACTGTGCATCAGCGAACACACACAGGAGAGAAACCTTATGAGTGTAACAAATGTTGGAAATCTTTCTATCAGAAATCAGTGCTCACTGTGCACCAGAGAATTCACACAGGAGAGAAACCTTATGAATGTAATGAATGTAGGAAAACCTTTTGCCAGAAGTCGCATCTCAGCAGGCATCAGAGAACTCATACAAGGTAGATACCTTGTGAGCAATGAAAGGAAGAAATTCAGTCAGAAGCGAGTCCTTGCCACACATCAAAAAACTCAGCAGGGGCCTGGCCAGATAGCTCCGTAGACTAAAGTGCCTGGCGACTGGGGTTTGATCCCTGGCATGCAGTCCTGGCCCAACCCCCGGGGTGTGCTGAGATGGTGATAAAGAATGGGCATGGTGGCAAATACCTGTAATCCCAGCATTTGGGAGGCTGAAAACAGGATCACTATGAGTTCAGTCTGTGTAGTGAGACCCTGTAGACGCTGTACTAAAATAAAAAAATAAATATATATAAATCCCAGGCAGGAAAAAGTCTATGAATATAAGAAAACATTTTCTTAGCAGTGACATCTCAGTAAATCTGAGAAATTATGTAAAGGTGCTTGTATCCCCAAATGCACTCTTTCTCAGGGTTAGACTGGTTCAGATTTACTGACTGCTGCTTTTTTTTTTGGTTGGTTTCTTATCACTGTGGTAGGACTTGGATACTTGGGGTATGTCAGCCTAGTCATGGGCATTACTTCCTGCTGTGGCAGTGATCATGAGGTACTTCCTAAGTCTTATGCCCTGTGGGGCAGAATCCACATGATTGTCCCTGAGTGTTGGTGCGAGAAAGCTGTCCTGAGGTGAGATGAGGAATTGACTAGGGAGCAGAGGTCTTGCTACTTTCATCCCAGAGTCTCCTTGTGTACTTTGCCTTAGTGAGAAAATCATATTCTGGGGCTGGGGAGATAGCGTGGTGGTCTACGTGCCTGCCTGGCAAGTGCAAGGACCCAGGTTCCATCCCCAGTACCGCATGCCTTGCTAGCTCCTGAACTCCAAGTGTGCTGTGTGAGCCACTGAAACTGAGTGTGGTGGTACAAGCCTATAATCCCAGCACGGGGGAGGCTGAGAGAGGAGGATCACTATAGGTCCACCCTGCATAGCAAAATCCTGTTACAGAAATAACAAGAAAATCATACTCTGTTGAGCTATTGTATGTGAGCTGTGTACATTGCAACACAGACAGTTCACTGTTGCTAGTACAGCTTTTGAATGACTTTTCTTGTGCATCAGAAAATTTATGAAAGGGAAACCTGTGTTGTCCTATTTCTTCACCCAGCTGGTTTATGGAAAGGTCAAAGAAATGGGAAAAATGAATTTGGGGACACTGCTAGGGACAACTCAAATACAGAGTAAATTTTTATTAATACCATCAGTTTTCAAGGAAAAATACATTTTTATGTCAGAGTTTGGAATAAAAGTCAAAATTTGTAATGTAAACAAAATTTCAAATGAATTGTTACATGTGTTCTTGAACATATAAAACAGTTCACAGTGCAGAAGGGTTCTGTCTGGAGCCTCTTGAGGACATTGGTGTGCCAGAGACATTGGGGTGGTTGTAGCCCTGAGGTGTACTGTTAGCATCTGCTAAGTAGACGATGAGAGAGTGTTGGCTTGTGGAACTCAGGCCCTGTATGTACAGGTCATGCCTGTTGGCACTCCATGCTAGCAGGTCTTTTTGCCTAATTGAACTTCACAGAAATGGGATGGAAAGTAATTTACACAATGATTTTCAACATCCAGAGTTGCTCTCCATTGTAATTAAGTATATTAGGTCTAAACTCTATGAAGAGGCCGCCCGCGATGGCTGGCAACGGCAATGGCGCACATCACCATCAACCAGTATCTACAACAGGTATATGAAGCGATCGACACCAGAGATGGAGCATCATGTGCAGAGCTGGTGTCCTTCAAGCACCCTCATGTGGCAAACCCCCGGCTGCAGATGGCTTCTCCAGAAGAGAAGTGTCAGCAGGTTTTGGAACCTCCTTATGATGAAATGTTTGCAGCTCATTTAAGGTGCACCTATGCGGTAGGGAACCACGACTTCATAGAGGCATACAAGTGCCAAACGGTGATAGTCCAGTCCTTCCTGCGGGCGTTCCAGGCCCACAAAGAGGAAAACTGGGCTCTCCCTGTCATGTACGCGGTGGCCTTGGACCTTCAAGTGTTTGCCAATAATGCTGATCAGCAATTGGTAAAGAAAGGCAAAAGCAAAGTTGGAGATATGCTGGAGAAAGCCGCTGAGCTACTGATGAGCTGCTTCCGCGTTTGTGCCAGCGACACTCGCGCTGGCATCGAGGACTCGAAGAAATGGGGCATGCTGTTTCTTGTGAATCAGCTGTTTAAGATCTACTTCAAGATCAACAAGCTGCACCTGTGCAAGCCCCCATCCGCGCCATTGACAGCTCCAACCTGAAGGATGACTACAGCACTGCACAGAGAGTCACATACAAGTACTACGTGGGACGCAAGGCCATGTTTGACAGTGACTTTAAGCAAGCCAAGGAGTACCTGTCCTTCGCCTTAACGCACTGCCACCGCGCCAGCCAGAAGAACAAGAGGATGATCCTCTACCTGCTGCCCGTGAACAAGAGGATGATCCTCATCTACCTGCTGCCCGTGATCCTCATCTACCTGCTGCTGGGCCACATGCCGACTGTGGAGCTGCTGAGAAAGAACCACCTCATGCAGTTCGCTGAGGTGACTAAAGCTGTGAGTGAGGGCAACCTGCTATTGCTGCATGAGGCACTGGCCAGGAATGAGACCTTCTTCATCCGCTGTGGCATCTTCCTCATCCTGGAGAAGCTCAAGATCATCACCTACAGGAACCTCTTCAAGAAAGTGTACTTGCTACTCAGAACTCATCAGCTGTCCTTGGACGCCTTCCTGGTGGAAGACGTGGACCTGGACGAAGTGCAGTGCATCCTGGCCAACCTGATCTACATGGGCCACATCAAGGGCTACGTATCGCATCAGCACCAGAAGCTGGTGGTCAGCAAGCAGAACCCGTTTGCCCCACTGTCCACCGTGTGCTGATGTGGAGGCCTGGAGCAGCGGCCCTGATGGCCGGCTTCTGGCCCTGTGCCGCCTGGGGAGACTCACGGCGGCTGCAAGTTCCCGGTGCTTTCTTCGGGGACCAAGAGACCAGCACACCCAGTGTCCTGGATACTCCTGCATCCCCTGGGAGCACATCAGCCTCCGGGAGACCCAGGGGGTGTGGAGGCGCTGGCCTGCAGCAGCTGTTCCTAAGGAGGCCGGGTACAAGCAGTCTTTGTACTTTCTATAAAGGAAGGTACTCCGAATTTAAAATAAAAATAAAAATAAAAATAAACTCTATGAAGAATTGTATTATACTTCCTCCAGCACTTCTAGTATATGTAAATTTCTTGACCATTATTATTAAATTGTTAGGTGAAGACTGTTTCCTCTTGAACATTACCTCTTACACAGGGCCAGCTACAGGCTAATAGAAACATTCTTTACACAGAAACATACTTTGTGCTCACAGTTTTTAATATCTTAATCCTCAGTTCATTTAAGCTGTGAACAACCACACTCCCTTTAGTCAAATCAATAGAAGGCAGTCACTAGAGGAAAATGGGGTGTGGTGTTTGAGATATGGCTTTGCTCTGGAGCTCAGAGTGACCTTGAATGCACTGTAGCCAGGCTGGCCTTGAACTTGCACTCACCCTCCTGCCTCTGCCTCCTCAGTGCTGAGATTACACGTGTGCCACACACCTGGCTCCCTTTTTGTTTTGTCCCTGTGACCTACATGGGTTGAGTTTGTGTCACCAAGTACATTGTAGTTGAGGGGTCTCTGGTCCTTTCTAGAGTCTCAGAGTCTGCAGTCAGAGTCAGCAGCTCAGCTGGAGAGCACTGTGTCCCCAATCTCATTCAGTTGCCAGAATTTCCTTGCAATGTCTGGCTGTGGGCAGTCACCTTAAAGGCAGGGCACAAGGCTGTTGCTTCCTCAAGGCCAGTATGAGGTTTCACTCTAGGCTGGTAGTATCTCGGTTACTTTTCTCTCATTGCTGGGACAAAATACCTGACACCCAGAATTGAGGAAGGAAAGGTTATTTAGCTCACACTTTGTGGAGGTTTCAGTCCATACTTGGTTGGCTCGAGGGCAGGGTGTCACATTGCAGAAGACAGCAGTTCATGGTGGTGGAGAACAGCAAGAGCAGAAAGTGGGGAGCAATGGCTGTGGCAGCGCTAAGCAAACCTCTCTCCCTGATGTTGCATTCAGACTATCCACCCCATGGTGGGTGTGATATATCTATAATTCCAGCAGCATTCACACCCATAATCCCAGCATTGGATCATGAATTAATCACTAACTCTAGGAAATGGCCCAAATGACGGCATGAAACATTGAGGAAATGACACAAACCATAACAGATAGGACAGTGTCTGCAATGCTTAGGACCAAAGTTGGGGCCTTGTATATATTTGGCAGGTGCTGTGCCAATGGGCCCATGGTAGGATTGTTCTAAACCCATGATTGAGGGTGAAAGTTCAGCTCCCTTGTTTGAGGGAATGTCTTCTGTGCCTGTGGCCTGGCTTTAGTCTTCCTGTTCTATAAATTGTTGAGTATAAATGTTGAGGTGAAAAAAAAAATGGGGGCCGGGGAGACGGCTCCGTGGAATAAGCGCTTCCCTGGCAAGCGCAAGGGCCTGAGTTCAATCCCTGGTTCTGCCAAAAAAAAAAAAAAAAAAAAAAAAAAGTTGAGGTGCCTCTTGGTGTCTCTGGTTTGTGTGACAAGATTTGTGGGATTTCTTGTGCTGTCACCAGAGTAACTCAGGCTTGTGGCTGATTTATTCCTAGTCTGTTCTGTGTATCTGCTCAGGTTCTGTGCATTTTCTCAGGCTGCTCTGACAAAATGCCAGCTTCAGTGGTATAGACACTTACTTTTTCACTGTTCTGGAGACTGGACATGCGAGGTCAAGGGGCTTATAGGGTTGTTTCCAGTAAGGTGATTCTTCCTGATCTGCAGGTAGCTACCATCTCCCTGTGACCTTTTACAGTCAACATAGAGTATTAGGACCTGTCCTAATGACCTCATTGGACTTTAAATACTTCCCTAAAGTCTCTCCAAATATAATCTTGGAAGTTAGTGTTTCTACATGTGAATTTTAGAAAGTGAAACATTCAGTCTATGTCATCCAATGATTTGAAATGTTATCTTTAGGGGCTGGTGAGATGGCTCAGTGGTCTAAAGCACCTACTTAGAACAAACTAAGCCAAGCAAAGCACAGGGACCATGGTTCAATCCCCCAGCTCCACATGCCAGCCAGCC